AAAAGAATAAATTGTCACCTTCCTACTCAATCTGGCTGCTCGCTCCCCTGGCGCCCACCCAGCCGCCCACGAATGCACTACCCTGCTGCCTCCTGCCCATATCAGCCTTGGGACTCAGCCAGGAGGGGGTGGGGAGACACTGGGGGCCACACATGTCTGCCCAATCCCCCTACTGGGCCCTGGACGCTCCCAGGGGCTGGAAGGAAGTGTCTCGCAGACCTGGAAGGTGGCTGTAGGGAGGGCTCAGTCATCCTCACCACCCTCCTGCTATCTTGCCAGTCCTCCTGCCAGCTGAACCTCCTCAATGAGCCCTGTCTCTGGGAAGTGGAACTGGTGGTGCCAGGTCTCTCCTTCTGGAGCTTTGCTGTCCCTTCTCTAAGTCACTCTTGAGGTTATATGATACAGAAGGAAAAAGCACTGGACAGTTTCTTATATTGCTAATATCAGAGACCATTCTTTGGGTGCTTAGTATGTGACTCTTTGAGACCAACCTAGGAAAGGGTATCAGTATCATCCCCATTTTGCAGCAGAGAAAACTGAGGTTCTCAGTTTCCTCACCCATCATTGGACAAGTAGGAGGCTTGTTAGACAACTAAGTCACTTGCTCCTGTGGCTAGCAAGTGGCTAACAGGATTGAGGCTGAAGTCTGGCAGATTCAGAAACTCTTAAACAATCTTGTGCCTCTAGAATACAGCTTTTCCTGGTCTTGGTTTCCTCATTTCATAAATATATGAAACACTAAATTCAACAATTAATTAGTTAGGCAAATAAGCCAATGCTTTCTGGGTGCCTGTATGGCTTAAAGTCTGTGCCCTCAGATTGCTCACAGTCCAGAAAGAGGAGCATATATGTGGCGAAGAGTCATAAAGTCTTAAGTATTCTAGAAGTATGCACAGAGTGCTCTGTGACCATAGAGGAGGAGTGGGAATGGACCAGAGTGTCCCAGAAGCACTCTAGGATCTGGGTACTCTAGGAGGGAAGGTCACAGTTTTCTAGGCCTCTGTGCTCCAACTTCAGAGCTTGGACTCAGGAGTCAGAAGACTCCAGTGGGAAACTCAGCTTGTACCTCAATTTTTTTCATTTATGAAGTGGGCATGGTCATAGTGCTTACTTCACAGGGAAGCCATTGCCTGGCTCATAGGTGGGCATTCTAGTAAACATTGGATATTTTTACAGCAGAAACAACTTGGGTCCCAAAACCTTTCCAGAGCTGAGAGTGCTATGTCAGGTTCTTGGAGAGGAGAAGATGAAACTACAGAACTTGTCTCATTCCCCATCAGCATCCCTGAAGCCCTGCAGAAGAAGCAGGTTCTGAGTTTCAAACACTTCACCATAATTTCCTCTGCTGTAGAGAGCTCTTGAGTTCAGGAACCAGGAAAAAGAAATATTTTGCTGGTTAAAGAAGAATAATAACAAATATTTACATAGCTCTCACTAGGTGCCAGGCACTGTTCTGAGCACTTTACACTCATTAATCTGTTTAAGCAATGGGATCAGAGGCAGGTTCAGAAAAAAGGTTTTGGGGAAATTATCTAGTCTGGCTAAATCCTCCCAAGTCTCTCAGAGGTGTCTAAAGGTCTTTTTCAAAAACAAACCTAGGTGTGGCTGAGTTGCACTATTTATGTGTTTTTGCATGTTCAAGGGGGTGGATAATGAAAGGTGTGGAGTAATGAAAGGAATGACCAGTACCCTATTGTGCTTTGTACCTAAAGACTAGGATATCCAGAAGAAGAAGAAGAAAAATCAAGCCCATCCTCAATAAGAAAGGCTTTTGGGGTTATTTCCACCTTCACAGTCTGCAGGAGTTCATGGAGGTCCCTAAATCTTCCCTAGTAGACTTCAACATGCATGCTCCTGCTCACATACACTCAATCCATACTCTCATCCTTACACATTCTATCTCGGTGGAGATAACATTCCTTTGGAGGATCTGTCTGCTTAGGCTGAAACTGGGCTTTCTGCTGGGCTGAGAATGTGGGGAGCCTAGAACTTTCATTTGGATCAATGATGACCATGACTGGCTCAATTGACCTCTGTAGCCTCCGTTTCCACAGCTATGATATGGAAGAGATGGGGTTAGGGGATTTCTAGGACCCTCCTTTCCAACCCCAAACTCTGGGATCTCCAAGGTTTTGGGGATTGACACAGTCTCAGTCCCCTTATCTATAGAGTGGGGTTGCAGAGTGATGTCTGGAAGTTCCTTTCTATGATGAAGGTTTTTTGTCAGAACAGAAAAATGTGTATCCTGGCCAATTCTAGTATAACACCAACAACTGTAGTGACAGACATGATAATAGTAATACTTTTCATTTCTCAAGTGCTTACTGAAGATCCCAATTCTTTGGTAGGTACCCTCATTATCTTCACTTTCTAGGTGAGGAAACTTGAGGCTCAGAGAGTCTCCATGGGCACAAGCTAGTGAGGGAGAGAAAACTTCCATTTGTTCCTACTATCAAACAGTCTCAGCCTCTTCCCACTTTCTCTCGACAGAAAGGCAAGATCTTGGGATATACAAGGCAGTCTTCAAGGATATTTTGTTCAACTTCTCTCCTACTTGTCCATTACACCAGTGAGGAAACCAAAACCAAGAGCAAGAATGCAAAGATATTATTGTATGTCTGTGTCCTCCTCCCCTGTTTCATATGTTGAAGCCCTAACTCCCAAAGTGATGGTACAGGGAGTGGGACCTTTGGGAGGAAATTCGGTTTAGATGAAGTTCTATCCTCATGATAGAATAGTGCTCTTATAAGAGGAAGAGACCAGAATGCTCTATTCTCATATTTTCTCTCTCTCTCTCTCTCTCTCTCTCTCTCTGCCATGTAAGGGTACAGCAAGAAGGCAGCCATCTGCAAACCAGAAAGAGAGCCCTCACCAGAAACCAAATCTGTCAGCACCTTGATCTTGGACTTCCCAGCCTCGAGAACTGTGAGGAATAAATATCTGTTGCTTAAGCCCCCGAGTCTATGATATTTTGCTATGGCAACTTGAGCTAATTAAGACACTCATAGAGTTTAAGACAGAACTAAAACTCCTGATGCTTGCTCAAAGAAACTAAGACCACTCCTGATCCCTGCCACTAAGGGTGCCAGACTTCTTTTTTAAAGGATACGTAGGTAAATTTGAATTTCAGATAAACAACTAGTAATTTTTAGCATAGCTTATGCAATATTTGGAATATACTTACACTAAAAAATGATTTACTGATATTTATCTGGCAGCCTTATCACCCCACTGTTCAAATTCACCCCAACATTATCACAGCCTAGTAACTTGGACTTATAAGAATCTCCATTTAGGTATTTCATTATTAGTTATTTTAATGAGAGATGAAAAATAGTATCTATGCCTTAGGATTATTGTGAAGATTAAATAAATCCATATATGAAAACTGTTTAGAACTATACTTGGCAATATCTAGGGCTATAAGGCCTTTCTTTCTTTCTTTTCTTTTCTTCCCCCCCCCCCCCC